ATTTTGCATAGTAATTTTTTTCGGTGCACAGCAGTCGGCTGGTAGCTTACCGGAACGATGCCCATCCGTTACCTGTAGCTCAACCAGCTTGCACCAGTTGCTTTTTTCTCCTTTTTTCTATATATTGCGGCACAGTAGCTGAGGTGTTCCCTACCTCTAGCTAACGTGTAGTATGATGAGGATGATGACGACTGCTACCATATTGAGGAATAACGGGTGGATTCCATCGGGGCATGGTGCAGGGTTAGGTTTCAGTTCAAGAAGGAGTCTCTTGATTATCTCCGGATTGATTTCGATTTGCTCGAGAGGAGGATGATGCCTTTGCAGATCGTCAGTGTGTAGTGACGGTTCCAGGGAGTAGATCGAGAAGTACTGCGGGGCTAGTAGTTGAGCCTTCGCGTCATCTTCGTAGAGCACTGTCTCCCTCCTGGCAGAAGAGAGAAGGGATATCACTGCCAGCCTTTGTGTTTCGCTTCAGGTACGAGAACAGCTTCTTTGGGCAGATTCGTGATTGCATGACTAGGCTGTGCTCGTATTGTGATTGTTTCTGGCGCCTTATTAGAGTGCACAGATTTCTGATCACTTTGTACTTCCAGTAACCTGACGTCACCTGTGTTGACTAGAATGTCCCAAAGTTTGTGTCGTCTGTTCACCAGGAATTTCACCCCTCAGTCGATCCAGGGGAGGGGTCTTTAATGAAAAGCCTACCTTTAGTGATAGAAACAACTTTATCAATCACCGACATCATCTTCGAGCGTAGTAAGTAAGTTCCATGCCTCATGAAGGTTCAGGGATTGTGGAATGGTCCAGTCTGTGGTACATTGGAAAATTGTATCTAATGGGAATAAAAGCTCGAGCTTTACATAACCCATAGGATAAAAAGAGTTCGGGTCGGGTCTGATGAAAGGCAAAGCAACCTTATGGCGGGTTGGACTCGCGTGTTAGCCGTACCTTCATCGGGATTATGAGGCATTTAACAGAATGTACGCCGGCTCAAAGCGTGACATCCCACCACGCCCACAGAAACGGCTATGGAAAGGGATTGGGTAGAAGAGAAAAAAGGAAACTCCATGAAGTAGAAGGTAGTTATCACACGGAATATCGCGGTGTAGCTGGGCCAGATGACAGTCCAGGCGGGTCTTAACATCCGCCACAGTGGATGCCAAGACTAAATCGGCAGGCAGAGCATTCCACGGTCGGCAGATTCGAAAAGTGAAGTAGTGTCGTCCGCAGTTCAGCCGACTGTGCTAATGTGTGAGCCTCAGTGGGTGGCCACGTAGGTGGGAGCACGATCGGTGCAGCGTGAGTAAGCGGCGACAGGGATGTCCAGGGTTGGATAAGACAAGATAAGATCATAAATACAAGGATCAGGTCGCCCCGTAGAAGTCCGTACCTAAGCGAGCAGAGGCCCAGGAAGTAAAGTCGTTGTGGATAACCTAGGTGCCTGAGACCGCGGGCCAGCTTTGTTGCCCAACGTTGTGGGGCTTCGAGTATGCGTTGGTCCAACAACTAGGGTATCCAAGCCTGAATGGCAAACTCCAAGTGGGGTCGAAGAAAAGCATTGAGGAGGAGGCGGAAATTGCCAGGGTCAATTTGACCGAAGGCTCGTTTCAGCAATCCCACCATGCGGTTAGCAGCAGCTTCTGCTTTCCGGCAGGAAGCGGATACGGAAAGACTTGTCTGGGTAATTGTACTCAAGTCTTTCGGCTGAAGAGATCTGGAGGAGAAGCTCCCAGGTAAAATACAAGAGAAAAATCGGAAGGGCGGGTGGAAAGGACGTGACATTTCGAAGGGTTAAATGGAAGGCTGTTTTCTATAAATTACTGATGTAGACGGTTGAGGTACGTCTGAAGCGCGTGGGTATCGTTCGGAACGTTAATTGTGCACCACAGCTTCGCGTCATCAGCATTTAGCCGCAGCGAAGATTCCACTTGCGGTGTGACGTCATCAATGAACGTTAAGAAGAAGTTCGGTCCAAGAACAGACCCCCTGTGGAACTCCGCTTGTGGCAAAGATGCGGGGAGACAACGTTCCGTCGACGCGTACCTGGACGGTACGGTTTTGAAGGTAGTTCCGGATCCAGTCCATCAAGGCACCTGAAACGTCGTAAGACAACGGTTTCTGTAGTAGAATGTTGTAGTTGACCTTGTCGAAGGCTTTGGCGAAATCCAGGAATATAACATGCGTTTCTAGGCTAGAGACAGCAGCAGTCGTCCAGCTATCCCTGGCAAGTAGCAGATTCCTCAGGCACGACTGTTGCTGTCGGAAACCGTGCTGACAATCGGAGTGCAGTTCCTGGGCCTCCATGTGATCAATTAAACCGTCTGCGAGGATCGATTACATGACTTTAGAGATCGTAGAGAGGAGAGTTATCAGCCGGTAATTGGCCCGATCTTTGCGAGTATCGCCTTTGTAGATTGGTGTAATAATCCCACATTTCCAATCTTTGGGAACTTTACCTTGTGAGAAGAAGTGGGTGAACAGCTCCGCTAGGGGTAAAGCTAGAGCTGCAGCGCACGTTCGCAAGAGCCGTGAGTGTAAACCATCAGCGCCAGGAGAGGCCGTTAGCCGCAGGGATTTGAGTTTCGCCAGAACCCTTTCCGGAGTGAAATGAACAATCGTCAGGGAAGTTGGGGGTGAGACCGAAGAAGGTACTATTGTTGTATGCATTGATGGAATGGAGAATGTGGCTGCGTCCTACCGGCACAGGACCTCTGCTGCCTCGTGCGCTGACTTCGTGAGCCCTGTGGGAGTCGTCAGGGCGGTGACACCGTGCTTGACTTGTCGAAGACTGTTGACATGACTATACAAGGCTTTGGGATTGGATGAAAATTGTCGCAGAAATTGACGCTGATGCTCACTCTTATCTTCTCGTACAAGATGGACGCATTGGTTACGGATGGATCAGTAATATTCCCACTGAGTAGCCGTTGGATGGGAGCGATAGTTCGTCCATGCCGTGTCCCTGGAGGCAATCCACTCCCGTGTACGACCGGATGAGTGCTGGGCGTCTCTTCCCTATGGAAACTTCTTTGCAGGTCGTCGTAGTGGAGCCGAGTACACGTAGGGTAAGGCAAAAGGTTGACCACACGCTGCCGGCACTCGATTGGGGCTCAGGTGACCAGCTGTTAGAGGAAATGAGAAGGTTCAACTTTCGTAATCAGTCCAGCGTTTGGTATAAGTTAGCGTGCTGACGGGTTTTCCGGGGAACCATATAAAATCGAAACGGAGGACGTAGTGGTCGCTAAGCCCCAAAGGGGCATCATACTCAAGGTGTTCAGCCGTCAGTTCTTCGTTAGTGAGAACGAGATCTAGCAGGGATGGTTGGTTGTTGGATCGGAATTTGGTCGGCTGATACGTGTGGTCGTACAACGGGGCCGTGTGAAGAAGATCAATGAGGCCTGATGCAAAGGAGTCAGCCATCATCATCATCATCAACACACGTTAGCTGGAGGTGGAAAACACCTCCGCTATTGTGCCGCAATACAAAAAACAATAAAAGGAAAACAAACAGTGGCACGCCCGCTGAGTCTCCAGTAACGGATGGACATCGTTCCGGAGAGCTAACAGCTAGCTGCCGTAAAAGAAAGTCATATTATGCCTAAGGATTAAGATCGTGATTGGAGGGGGATGCTAAACAGGAGGGGGATGGACAAAAGAACTCACAACACAAACGCCATTGGGCCAGCTCCAAGCTATATCAGCAAGTGTGTCCAACCAAACGTGTTCACCGTCCTTAGGACCCCAGCCAGGCAGTCGGAATGCACCAACCGACGCCAACTTCGAAGTGAGGGTTTTCATTTCTCTCGACCAAGTCAGCACTTGGCCTCCCCTCCTCCTCTTCCAACCGCACCCACAACGTGCAAACAATGCACGTCGCGGCATGCGCAACACGTGGCCCAGCCATCGGAATCTGGTGCGTGATATAATGGTGTTGAGCGGTTCACTCGCTCTTCCTGCACCAAATACACGACGTCGAACACGATCATTGCTCACGCGGTGTTCCCACCAGACATGAGCTAAGCTGCGAAGGCAGCGATGATCGAATGTGACGAGCCTCTTTATGTTTGTCGACCTGATGGGCCAGATTTCACAGCCATATAGGAAAGTTGAACGGACGGCTGCGTTGTAAACACTGCTCATGAGGGCGAGAGGAATGTCGCGTCTGCGCCACAGGTGGCGGAGATTGGTAAAACCTCCTCGAGCTTTGGCTATACGGTGCGTAACTTCATCTTCAATCCCATGGGTGCTAATATAGCTGCCCAGGTACTTAAATTTCTGAACGACTTCTAGCAGATCACCACCAAGCGTTAGCGCAGGGTTGGGTCCCTGCCAATCTTGGAGAAGTACTTTGCATTTCGATGGAGCAAAGCATAGCCCAAAACGATGGACAGCCAGTGCTAATCGGTCCAGTGCTCTTTGGCATGTTTGGAGGCTGTCAAAGATTAGGGCAATGTCGTCCGCATACGCCAATTCACGAAGTCGCTCACCAGGGAGTAGCTCCACACCTTCTAGGTCGTGTCCAGCGAACGCTGTTTCTATGACTTCATCAATAGCGAAGTTGAAGAGGAAAGGGGACAGCGGGCATCCTTGTCTCACACCGCTGGTGATACTGAAGGGTGGCGAGAGTTTGCCATAAACCCTCACCCTGCCCGAAATATGTGCGTACAGCGCTTTGATAATTTTTACATATTTATCAGGCACAGCTTTCCTCAGCAGACAGTCCCAAAGGGCACATCGATCGACTGAGTCGAAGGCACCTTTTATGTCAAGAAACACGACAACGGTGGGTCGCCAATAAACATGGCGGTGCTCCAACACTTGACGCAATGTGAAGATGTGGTCGATGCAGCCCCGACCTCGACGAAATCCGGCTTGCTCTTCACGAATCTTGCTTTCACGAGTGCCAGTCAGTCTGTGGAGAATGACAGAGGCAAGCAATTTAGAGGCAATTGAAATCAGACTAATCCCTCTATGACTGCCGCATCTCGAACGGGAGCCTCCACTAAAAATTGGGACAATGACAGAGCGGTTCCAGTCTGTCGGGACAGTCTCCTGCTCCAAAAGTTTCACTGGCAACTCGTGTAAATCGTCTACTAGAGAAGGTCCCCCGAATATGAAGAGGGCTGGGGGAGTTCTATCTGCCCCTGAAGCCTTATGCAATTTCAACAGCCTGATCTCACGTTCGATCTCTGTGCGTGAGGATGGATTCAAGGAGAGGGCCTAGGAAGAAGGGCGCTTAATGCCCGAAAAAGAAGCGATAACTCAGATTGGTTAAGTTGTTTTGCATTGTTCGGCCCAACGCTCCAAGAGTTTTGACAGGTGGTGAATCGGCTTCCCACTCCCGCCGCGTATGGTCTCGCTAACACCAGGTTTCCTGCTGCTTGGTTCCCATATCAGACGGAATAACTTACGATGATTACCAACGGTAGCGGCTGTTTCCATCTCCGAGGCACAATGAGACCACCAGACTTCGTGGTCTTTTTTCAGGCTAGCACGAAATTTTGCCCTGAGATTTTTGCGAATCTCATTGTATTCGCTTCCTGCCGGAATACGTCGGCAAGCATCCGTAAGTTCAAGAGACTGTGTAGAGACCCAATGTCCAATTTGACAATTTGATTCGCCACATGAAGACATGCCTGCCGATAGTAACGTCTGACAAATATGCGACCAGTGATCTTCAACGGTGTTCAGTGGACGCGTACTCAGCCCGGATGTCAGCGCAGTTTGATACACATTCAGAACACCTGGCTTCGCCAGGTGGCATCGACGTTGCATGCGTCCACCAAAACGCACCCGGAGGTCGGCGCAAACAAGTGCGTAGTTAAAGTGCACGCTAGTGCTCCAAATCGAGCGAGTTTTGGACACAGCCACTTCAGCGGTAACTAAATGCGATATGATCGATTTGCGTCCATAACTGGCCCGAGGCTGGTGGCCGCCAAGTCACACTTCTGCGGGTGCTGTGTCGAAAGTTAGTGTTCTCGAGAAAGAGGCGAGCATCTTCACGCAGCCGTAGCAATCGCTCACCATTATCATTACGGGAGCCTACACCATGTTGGCCGCCCAGATGAAGCTCATCAGAGGACAATTTTCCGACTTGGGCGTTTAGATCGCCAGCCAGCACCACAGTATCCGTGCTTCTTCTGTAACGAAGGAGCTCGTGAAGTTGCTGATAGAAATCATCTTTTACCGAATCAGTGCTACAGTTTGTAGGGGCGTATGCCGAAATGACAAACAGGCACCGTTTGTCCCCGCGCGACTTCGTAGCACGGAACGAACCAGCTAATCTAACGGCGCACATCCTATTGTTTATTGGGATCCAATCAAGCAGGGCAGCTTCAGCCCGGGAACTCAAAACAATGCCGACGCCAGCTTGATCGGCATTTGAAGCTGCATCATCGCCAGATAGGTGCAATGAGAATGTGCCGCCAGTGTCGCATGTGGGGGATCTCAGGGTAAGCACGGAGCTCGAATCTTGCAGGCGGGTTTCTGATAAACAGCAAATATCAATCGATAGGGTCTCTAGTGTGCGGGCAAGTGCTGCCTGTTGGCCAATCTGCAGAAAAGTGCGCACGTTGAGGCATGCCAGTCTTAGCGAGACACGAGGACTCCAAAGAGAAACGGGTGAACTGACGTTGTCTGCTTGGTTGAACACAGACTTGTCGACTGGATTGGAGCGAGACCCTGCGATTGTGTGTGATTTGAAATTAGAAGACAAGAGACTACTGAAGTAAGCTGGGGGAGGGCCAAGAATTGGGGGATTGAAAATGAGGGGGATATAAGTAAAGTTGGAGCGGGACAATAAGGATGCAGAAGCGCAAGAAGGGGTATAAGAAGACGGGAAGGCCTGAGCAGTAGCATCCAAACCCCTATCCACCCTGCTCAATGCAGCAGATAAGGCGCCGCTTATTATCCTCTGCGACGGCCAGAGCATCACGAAATTGTTGTAGGAAAGGTTCATATCAGCAAGTGTGTCCAACCAAACGTGTTCACCGTCCTTAGGACCCCAGCCAGGCAGTCGGAATGCACCAACCGACGCCAACTTCGAAGTGAGGGTTTTCATTTCTCTCGACCAAGTCAGCACTTGGCCTCCCCTCCTCCTCTTCCAACCGCACCCACAACGTGCAAACAATGCACGTCGCGGAAGCCGGTGTGTTGGCATGCGCAACACGTGGCCCAGCCATCGGAGCCTGGTGCGTGATATGATGGTGCTGAGCGGTTCACTCGCTCTTCCTGCACTAAATACGCGACGTCGAACACGATCATTGCTCACGCGGTGTTCCCACCAGACATGAGCCAAGCTGCGAAGGCAGTGATGATGGAATGTGACGAGTCTCTTTATGTTTGTCGACCTGATGGGCCAGATTTCACGGTCATATAGGAGAGTTGAACGGACGGCTGCGTTGTAAACACTGCTCATGAGGGCGAGAGGAATGTCGCGTCTGCGCCACAGGTGGCGGAGATTGGCAAAAGCACCTCGAGCTTTGGATATACGGTTCGTAACTTCATCTTTAATCCCATGGGTGCTAATATAGCTGCCCAGGTACTTGAATTTCTGAACGACTTCTAGCAGATCACCACCAAGCGTTAGCGCAGGGTTGGGTCCCTGCCAATCTTGGAGAAGCATTTTGCATTTTGATGGAGCAAAGCATAGCCCAAAACGATGGACAGCCAGTGCTAATCGGTCCAGTGCTCTTTGGCATGTTTGGCAGCTGTCATAGATTAGGGTAATGTCGTCCGCATACGCCAATTCACGAAGTCGCTCACCAGGAAGTAGCTCCACACCTTCTAGGTCGTGTCCAGCGAACACTGTTTCTATGACTTCATCAATAGCGAAGTTGAAGAGGAAAGGTGACAGCGGGCATCCTTGTCTCACAAAGGAGTCAGTAGACGGGATAGAGTGAAATAGGCGGGGCAGGTTGAAATCTCCCATGATAAGAAAGTGTGTGCGCTTGTGGGATAACATAAGGTGTACGTCGTGCAGTAATCGTGCGTCCTTCTCGAGGGAGTTGATAGGGGGGGCGGTAAATGATACCAAGGCAGCTGGAGTGTTTGGCGGCTAGTACGACCTCGCACCACATGGCGTCTGGAGACTAGAGGGCAGTGTTTGTTAACTTGCTGCAACTGAGGGAGATGACATAGTACAGTGCGACGCCGCCACCTAGGGTTGCGCGGTCAGAGCGGAGAACTGACAGGTGAGGAAGTTGGTTTTCACCATCAGTTATGTCGTCGGAGAGCCACGTTTCCGTTATGGCTATTAGTTCCGCTGGCGTTGACAGAAGTCGGGATTGGAGCTCCGGAGGTTTAGACATGAGACCTTGTGCGTTCGTGCAGATACAGGCGAGGCCCGTTTGATTGATGAGCGCGGGATTAACTAGGGTGCTGCCGGTTAACAGATGACCGGTAGTGCACCGTTTTATGGTTTAGAGGGGTGGAGCCGCTAAGGTTTGTGGTTGGGGAAGCAAGGTGTGGGTCGTAGGAGCACAGATGGGTGCTGGCGCCTGGGTCGTTGAAAGACTGAAGGTTGGAATGTGTGGGTGAGTAGATTACTCCAAGCAGTGAGGCAGATGGTTCGGTAACGGACCGTCTGAGGACGGTTTGATCAGAGTGCGTCGGTACCGAGTTGGCTGCTGCTGCTACTAGGGGTCTGTGAGGCTTGCCAATTCTTGTAATCTGGATGGGACGACACGCCAGAAGTTGTGACAGTGTGTCCTCTGATCATGTATGGCAAGGCGGCATGCCCAAAAAGAGATTGTAGAGTGGTCACTCCGGCCGAGTGGTTGAAGAATCTTCAGGCCATGGACATCAGAGAGCGCTGGTGTGAGGATGATACCCAATATGTTTGGTGCTTGACCCGGTATCGTTCGTGTTGGTGCTGAGATGTGCTGGATCAGATTGAATTCGTGAATAGTGTCGAGAAAGTCAGCCACGAAGGAATCTTCGTAAAGACAGTTTCATCCCGCTGCGTCTTTTAACATAAGCGCATGTACAAGTTGTCAAGGCTAAAGATAGGATGACACCGATACACAAGGCTAGCTATGGGATCTTATTGGAATCGGCAGCAACGCAGGGAACGAAGTATTTGACTAAGGGACTTTAAATAGACCGAAAATATACCGTGTATCAGTGTATGGTAGAGAGCAGAAGGAGTGCTTTGTCAGCTCCGTCACTTCCCAGTCATTGCGGACATTGCTGGGGTCATTACGAAAATAGGGTTCCACAATGAACCTTAAAGCTATGTTGTGAAGCAATATCCAGGCAGTTATTGGATAATAATCCAAGTTGCTTGAAAGCTTCCTCGGACTGCGCATCAACGACGACCTCCGGAAGACGATTCCAGTCATTAACCACGCGCGTGGATAGAGCTAAATCTGAGCGCACAGGGAGTCGCCTCGGCTTGAGAAGTTTCCATCTATGACCACGTGTCGAACTTCCAATGTTCAGATGAAAGAACTGCTGTAACTCGCTTCCTAGCTATCCTCTTAGGATACGTCGAGTGTAGATCAAATCGCCGCGAGGACGACGGTAATCCAGAGAAAAGGTTTAATCGCTGGAGACAGAGATGATAAGATAAGCACCGCAGCTCTGACACGGCGTTGGACTTACTCAATGATGTCGCATTCGGTCTTCATGAGAGACTGAGCAGCTGGCAAACCGTACTCCAGAAGTGGGCGCTCATGTGAAGCAAACAGGAGTCTGAAGAGTTCAGGATTAAGCCGGGAGAATGCTCTTAGTAAGGCAAGAAATAACTTGTAAGCAGCAGTGAGACTTTTCCGAGTGTCCTCAGTTGTTTTGAGGTAAGGAGACACAATTACTCCGAGGTCTCTTTCCTGAGCGACATTTCTAAGCAAGAAACCTCTAATATGGTACACCCCAAATGGCTCACGAGCACCAATCTGGAGTACGGAACATTTATCCCGGTTGACAGGTAACTGCCATTTTACAGACCAGTAGTGGAACCTGTTGAGTTTTTTTAGAGCCGTCGGCCGGTGGCCGAGTGGTCGGCACGTTTGCTTTCCAACCATAAGGTCACCGGTTCGAATCCGCGTAGGGGTGGGCGTCCTCGCCGTATACTCAGCCCGCGCGCGACTGGTGGTGGTCGCGCGGCAGCGAAGCGCCATTACGGCGTATAAGCTGACATTTCATTTTCATTCATTCATTTCATTTTTAGAGCCTGTCTGCATCCACTAGACTGCATACCTCAATCCAAAGTGTCAAGTCATCACAATAAATCAAAGATTCCGCCTGCAGTTCGGACGGGAGGTCGTTACTGAAGATACTGAGGAGCACAGGGCCAAGGACAGAATCCTGCGGGACACCACTGGCCATAGGGAAAGGAGCAGAAACTGTATCATTCACCCTTACCTGCGCAGAGCGACTGTCCTGGAAATCGGAAGTCCAGGAGAAAAAAATTCCCAGCAACGCCAATGAGGGCGTCGGATTAATCGAAAACAAGTTCAAGTTCAATTTGGACAGGAACGGTAGGAAAATTCCCATGTGTGTTCCTTCTTCGATGAGTCGTTGAACCAGGATGGAGTTCGCGGGAGCGATTTGAAACCGAGAAGAGCCAAATCAATACACGAATCACATAACGGTCAACCAATCAACGCCCACGCGGCCGGCACTAGCAGTCCCCGCTGTAGCGGCCACGTGAATAGAATAAAGGCTAAGAGAAGGGGATCAACAAGACAAAATAATGATAATTGTAGTACAGGAGAGAATGTGTGGATAAGACAATAATAGTAATAGATGTGAGAAGCCAAGGAAATGGATGTAGAAGTTAAG